AATTCCGCAAGAAAAGAAAGACTCAAAAGATAGCTGCTGAAGCTTGGGCACGAAGACCTAATGAAGAACAAATAGACTAATGAAAATAAAAGTAGAAGGTGATAAACTTCAAGTTATGTATAAATAAAAATAAGTAATAGCAAAGGTAATTGTCTTTTTTAAAAAATGGTAAGACATGTAGAATGTAATAAACTGTTTTAGTTATGTAAAATTAAAAAGAAGTGACTGCAAGTGTAATGGTACTTTAAAATGAAAGAATGGTAAGAAATGTAGAATGTAATCAACCGTTCCAGTTATGTATAAGTAAAAATAAGTAAGTGCAAATATAATTGCATTGAAAATGAAAGAATGGTAAGCAATGGAAAAGTGTAATAACAAAGGAATTGAAAGTGTTGATTGCACAGGTTAATTGAGTGAAGTTAAATATATAGAGTAAGTATTAATGTAAAATAAAAAATGTGTAATGTTATTGTTATAAAATTGGTGTAAATATTAAACTGGTTCTATGTTGTTCATGGAGCAAACCACTATAGGTTTACTCCATGGAACAAACTTGCTAAGGGGGGAGGTATGTCGCGGAACCCAAAAAATGATGTCATTCCTGCATGTCAATCAGAGGATAGAGCAGGAGGGGCGGAGTCAGAATGACAGAGTGAGAAGAGACAGTTAAGGAAAGTTGGAATGAGATAGGGGTAGAGAGAAGTAGGGACAAGAAGATATGGAGAAAGTGCTAGGGTTTAGGAATAGCTAAAAGTGGTTAAGAAAGGAAATTGAAAGAGTAAAACATAGTGGACAAGAAGGAATGAACACATAAGCCCAACATGAGAAACACCAGTGATTGAATACATGATCTAATATATGCACACCTGAAACAGTTATATATTTGATTCTCCTTATGATTTTGTTCATTAATAAAAGAATATTTGATCAATCCCCTGATTCCTAAGTTATATGAGCAGCTCCTGTGCATGGGAATTGTAGTGGTATTAGGAGAAATACCTGGTGGCAGTGAAAAGAAGGAAAAAGGCGTGTTTACCTTTGCGGAGCCCAAAGGAAATAAAGGGGCAACAAGGGGGATCGCCACACAAAGGAAAAGAAAACTCTTCCTCTGCCACAGTGACTTTCTGTGCTCAGCTGGAGCAACTGGGTGACTCCTTGGCACAGGAGGTCCCATTGTTACCACCCAAAGAAGTCTGTACATTTTCAATCTCCATGGCTGTATGTTTTGAAGCCAAATTAAAAGATATACAGCAAAGTCAAAGCAAAATAACACATAAAAATCTGAAATGTTTTTCTTCCCTTACAGTGTCCAGGTGCGTCCTCTGGTGCTTGGCTCGGTCGCTGGAATTACTGAATGCTTTTTGACAGCCTGGATGCTGGCAAAGGTAAGGCTTTTCTCCAGTATGACTCCTTAAGTGAATCTTGAGATTTTCTAGTCTAGAAAAGGCCTTCTTGCAGCCTTCAAACTGTGAAACAAAACAACATATCTAAGAATGAAGGAAGTGGCAGAGGAAGAATGAGTCCCTCTTTTTCTTGCTTAAAGATCTCCTGTGCATTAACGTTAACTGCACAGCTTTAAGCAAGCCTTATGGATGTGGCAGAGAGTATCAAAATAATTTTTCCTGTTCTGATTCTTGATAATCACTCTTTTCCCTGAATGCCAGGACAGAGCTGACACATACTGTATATAATTGCATGTGCATGTGGGCTGTGCCCCATCAGGAATGCCAGAGGAGGCAGGGTTCCCCAGGGTAGACATACATGGTTCAAAACTGCTCGGTATGTGTACTGAGGTCCTGCAACTAGCCTTCAGATCTTCCTCCCTCAGCAGATTCACTGAATGTATATATAGGGCTTCTATTGCTGGCAGTTGGCCAAACAAGTTTTTAAAAAGAGTGCACTAAATTTTATTGCCACATGTGTTCCAAGAACTGAATCAGCTCTCAACCTCAGCACAACCACAGAGGGGTCAAATGCACACTTCAGGTAAGCCTAGACATGTCAAAGTAAACAGCACAGCTCACAATGGGTCTCAGGTAACAAAGTATAGGATTGCAGCCTATGAAAATAAGGAAAATGGAAAAACTCATCATTTGAAATACGATTCCAAAAACTACTATCATGCTAGAATCATAGTGCCTCAAAATATTCTACCAATAGAGAATACATATGTTACACCTCTATGTAACACAGATCTGATACTGTATCAAAGTCTTTTCCAACCTAATGTACTCCAGATGTGTTAAATTATAAATCCTATCTTCCTCCACAGCACTGCAATTATAATGGATTGTGGGGGTTGAAGTCCTACTCGTCTACAAGTACCAGTCTCAAGTAATCTGTTGAAAGTTATGTTGCATACATATCATATTGCATATTTCAACATATTTCAACTCTGCTCCAATTGTTTTCCTAGTGCGAAACTTCAGCTTCTAAACTTCTCAGGGTAGGGATCTATCCTGTTACATCCTGTAGCAGCATTCACACCAATGGTGTAGCAGCATATAGCAGCAGCAACAAAAAGACCTCAGGAATTATTTTAACAACATTATTTTAACAAGAGTATTATATTACCTTCAAAATTAAGTACTCAAAATTAAGTACTCAATGACAGAATGACGCTTCTAAGAACAATGTTTTCTGAGCTATGTATAACATGCACAGTTTAATTTGCTAATAGGATTTCAAGCTTAGTTAGCTTATTCCCACATGAGCTATGATTAGGTGAAGGAACAAGAAACCAAGCAGATTTCAGTCACATTTTCCAATAGAAATGTTCATAACTTCTATATTATTAAACTTGAGTTTGAGGAGGATGTAACACCTTTACCGCAATTAATCACTTTAATACATTCTAGGTTTTTGCCCTTTTAAAGTCTTGTAAGACTCACAGAAGTAAACTTGAATCATCCAGACTTTAATGCAAGCATTAAACTTTTGTGGATACAATAAAGTGAAAGAAAGAAAAGAACTTTAATGTTTCCTTTGTTAATGTGTTTCTTTTTGTACTGTAACAATCAAATAGAAGCTATTAAACTAACTCATAAGCACAATTTCCTGAACCATTTAAAATATTCTGCACTAGCTTTATTGAATAAAGATGAAATGGGTGTTTGAATACATTTCCATATATAACATATGTTTTCTTTTTAAAAGAAGTACACAGCAGTAGCTGAAACCAGGAAGTTAAGAAGGATGGTTTGGGCCAATACTTACAAGTAAGGGAAAACAATAACAGGAATTTTCTTTACTCATTAGGAGTACCTTATTTCCACTTGAATATATCTGAGGTTATGTTAATATTTAAATAATTGAAATGCCAGTCTATCACATTCACAATGAAATCTCTAAAGGAATAAAAGCTGAAGAGCCCAAGGAATGCACCTGAATCAGTCTTAAAGGTTACCTATCTGTAAAACATGGATCTGAAAAACTCAGTTGCCACAGAGATGGGTCTTCTTTTGTATTCAGAAGAGTAGAAATCCTCAGCATATTTACCAAGAAGTAACTCTTGTTGAATTTAGACAGTACACTCTTTCCACTAGGAAACTCCTGCCTCATTCTTCTGGGGTGCAATTATATGCACATTTACTTGAGAGTAAGTCCTCCTAAACACAATGTTGGCCACCTGAGTAAACACCCCTAAGGCTACACAGCACAAACACAACTTGCAATTCTGTGTTTCTGCTGTATGTTTTGCCAAAATCTAGTGCTAATTTTACCTAGGATAAACTCCCTCTCCCTCTCTCTTTCTTACATTGACACACACTTTATTGTAACTTCTTCCAAGCAAACAAGTTTATGATTGGACTCCAGGTACAAATAAGCCTTCCCATTTCAGCCCTGGCTGTCTTTGCTGTTGTTATTGGTAAGAATGTAAATATTGTGACAAGCTTCTTGGAAGAGAATTCAGTTCTAAATGCATCAGCTGGTAATAATTTGAAAATCATGTGCATAGAAAGACATTTGGAGAAAAAAAAAGAATTTTGGAGTCATTTTAGTAGTGTGTCCCTTTATTAGAAAGCAGCTTACTACTTTTTCTCTGTTTGCTCTTCCTTATTTTGGTCCTTTCCCAAGTATGTTTCAATAGAGGAATAATTTATTTTTAACTACTCCCAATCTTGCTGTCACTGCCCAAATTCTTTGCATGATCTTTCACTCTAGACCAAACTTTTTTGTTTTACTTTTGCCCTATTTCAAGTTATAATTAATGTTGTTGTTATGTCCCTCTGTGGCTCTGCATTACATTAATTTAGTAATATTTTAAATGCCTAGCAATGCAATCCTGTACATACCTGTGCAGAAGCAAATTGAAATTACTTCATCAAAAGAGATAATTCCCCAGAGAGCAGGTATGTCATTGCCATATTTCATGGGCAGCCAAGCCCAAAGGGATCAAAGGCCACCTATGAGCCCCAGTCCCTAAGGGGCATGGGCAGGCTGGCTAGTTAATCTTTAATTTTCTTTAAACAAACTATTATAGGTTATAGTAATTTTTATAGATTATAATTTCTGGAATGTCATTAATGTTTTACTTTAATGCAGTATAAGTAATGTCATCAGTAAGGTTTTGTGTCATTTTACTAGGCTTGCTTAGGGGTCTTATTTCTTTTCTCATCTTCACATCTTTTAGACACTGGCAATCGCTTTCCAGAAACCTTTGTGGCTTTATTTATTTTTGATTTAGCGTAGTTCAATTTATTTAGTTATTCAAGGTGACTTATAACTTCTGCATTTGTCTAAAATTACTTTTCTGTGCCTTAACAATTTTAATTGAACGAGGAAGTCTGATTTTGAAACCTTTAATGGCATTCACAAACTACTACTTGTGAAACAAGGAAGTCTTTAACTGGCATATTTACCAGAGTGCAGAAGGCACTGGTGTTAATGTTTAAAACCAAAATATTTTACTCATTAAATTACTATTATAATAATGGCGTGCTGACAAGTCAGTTCTGACTCATGGCAGTTCTTTTCTGGATTTTCTAGGAAGAGAGTACTGTATTCAGAAGTGTCTTACTATTCCCTTCTTCTGGATGCATCCTGTGACCTTGAAGCTTGCCCAATGCCACAGAGGCTGGCTCTTTTGGGGATACAGTACATGTTTTGGGATACACTCCCAAGATCTCTCTCCACCTAACCTGCTGAGCTATCCAGCCAGCTAAATTACTCTTAACTAACTTGTTAATCAAAACTTTGTTCTCTGGGGATGGGGAATGTGAACTGGCATGCCCCCTCTACAGAAGGACATGCAAAACTAATGTTTTTAAATTCCTTTCAAAGTTATTTATTCAAATGTCATTTTAAAAAGCTAAATTTCAATATCCGTATAGAATCATAGATGACTATGATTAGAAGGGACTTTTCTTCTGAAATTGGTCCAAACAAGGAACAAATTTAATGTTAAAATGTTGATTTTGACATGTTAGTTCCAAGCACTGGTTATTTGCTTCTTGGAACAACATCATCCATGTTGCTATTCCTTTTAACAGTCTCAATGGTTAGGGTCTAGTTAATGGTTAGGGTCTAGTTAGGCATGAGAGGATCACAGAGCTGCAATTCTCTAATGCCTAAACAGTTCCTAATCACTATGATGGTTACAAAGAAGAATAAAAAACACCACAATTGTTTAATTAAGACACAAAATAGCAATTTTAGACAAAAATAAAGGATGGCAGCTCTCTTTAAAAACTAAATAAATATTTGACTAGACAGCTCAATTAGAGTGTGCTGGACTGTGCTAAAAAGGGTTGCTTAACGTCAAGTACATAGAGATTTGATACGCCATTTGGTGCAATCCTTGCATATGCACCTCAAGTGATTGTATTTGGTCCTGTTCCCTGAAGAAAACACCAACAGCAACATCTCCCTTCTTGCTGATTCCTCCTTCTGAGATAAAGCTTCATTTCATTTCCCCCCTAAAAGGTATAGTGCATCATCACTGCCCTAAAAGGCTTTTAGGTAAAGGTAAAGGTTCCCGTTGACAATTTGTCCAGTTCTGTCCGACTCTAGGGCGCAGTGCTCAACCCCATTTCCAAGCCGGCGTTTGTCCGTAGACAGTTTTTGTGGTCATGTGGCCAGCATGACTAGACATGGAACACCTTTACCTTCCCACCGAGGTGGTACCTATTTATCTACTCACATCTGCATGCTTTCGAACTGCTAGGTTGGCAGAAGATGGGACAAGTGACGGGATCTCACTCAGTCGCGTGGATTCGAACTGCTGGTCTTTCAACCTTGCAGCCAAGAGACTTTGCAATTTAACCTGCAGCAACACCACGTCCCTTCCCCTGGTTTCCCTAGACATCCTGTACTTCATTTTGCTGTGGATACTGCTCACGTTCTGATTTTTTGTTTTGGTGATGTAATGCCTGATGTCAAAGAGCATGCCGGGATCTCACTCAGTTGCGTGGATTCGAACTGCTGGTCTTTCAACCTTGCAGCCAAGAGACTTTGCAATTTAACC